ATTTGAAAAGAAACATTTGTATACAAGAGCCCTTTCAGTAACATAAAACACACTCTAACACAAAGTGTGTGTGTTGCGGGGGGGGGGGGGGGGGGGGGGGGGCAGACAGTCTGGGAAGTTTAGGACAAATAACTGTGCTGAGCTGATGTCATTTGCAAATTAAATATCAGAGCAGTTTGAAAGTCTTGTCTTTTCTCTGTCAAGGAAAGTTTTCTCACTCTCCTCCTTCATAGACCGGAGCTAACATTTACTGCATTTTCTAATTACAGATTCAACTTTTAATCATTTTAAAGGAAAAATAAGTGTGAGAGAAAATGAATGTGTTGTTAGAAATAACAGGGTCCACTTGGAAATCTCTAGCCTACCTCCTTTAAACATAGCCCTCAATGTCTTCTCATAGAATGGTGTAAGCTTAGCTCTTTTATATCCTGAAATTAAGTGCTGATGGACCTACTTCTTTATGGAAAACAATGGCATAATGTTTTAATTTGCTCTGTTTGGCTCTCTTCTCTTTCCCTACCTCCTCCTCACCCTCATGATGAACTTCTGCTTGGGTCATTCCATTTGCACAGAAATTATATTTCTATTTTTATTCTCATATTGAGCTAAGTGATGGTGATATCTCCTGGGTGTTAGGAACATTTTATTTATTTTTATTTTTTTAATTTTTATTTTTATTGTGATTGGGTGAAAATTTACAGAGCAAATACACTTTCCATATAGCAGATCACATACACTTTGTCTCATGACATTGACCACAATTTAGCACAATGCAACATCTCCTCTCCCACTTCCTCCCAATAGGTACCATTTCCCTGTGACCATCCCTCCATGCACTCCTACCCCCTGAGCTGTCTCCCTGTGCCTGAGAAACCCTTCTTTCTCTCTTGCTTGTTCTCTCCGTGGAGTGTATCTACCTCAGATAAATGGTCAACTAGTATGCCTGTCTACTGCTTGGCTGGAAGCTACAGGTGTGTATTCAGTTCCAGACCTGAAGGGCAGCTAGGGGCCATAGTCTCAGTGGTTCCACCAGGCTCCATCGGGCCAGTAAACCTGTTCCCCACTTTTTTTTTCCCCCCAAATGATTTTGAGTTTTGTTCCACATTGTTCCCCCATCTATCCAGGATCTCCTACAAAGATCCTCTTCCAAGTGGTTGACAGTAATAGCCGAGCACCGTCTATTTCTTCTGGTCTCATAGTCAAATAGGCTGCAGATCAGTTGCTAGGACTGATTGTTTCCATGAATTTTTGGTTTTCTTCATTCTTCTTGGCCCTGGACGAGGAGAGACCCATCGTTGCATTTAGATGGCAGCTTGCAAGCTTTTAAGATCTCAGTCGCTACTAGCCACAGTAGAAGATGGAACAATGATTTGTGTAGTATGTTATGCCAGTTGAGCTTGATGTCCTCTGGGACTATGGTCCCGAGCCCACAGGTTCAACAACTCGGTCCCTCTGGGTAGCTGTCAGTGGCCAAGCAGTGACTAAAACCTTGCCCCTTGTCAGCCCCATTATACACCTGGGAATTCAGATCATACACATAAAGTTATTGGACCACTGTCTGCCAACCCTATACATGTTCTTGGGTGCACTCTCCACTTCATATAGATACCTAATATTTCAGCCTGTCCACCCATCTATCCACCCATATACCCGTGTTTGCCTTCACTGAGCACGCCGTATTATACGTGCAAAAGGGTTCGTCTTTATTGTCTTACTTCCCATGTATCTCTCTATGTCTTTCTCTTCCTCAATGACACTATATTGATCACTCACATTTGGTACATTGTCCTTTTCTTCACCCAAATCAAAACTTATCTCTATCTATCTAACAGTATTCCCTCCCCTTCCCTCCCACCCCTGGTAACCAACAAAGGACCTTCCATAGATAAGCGTTTCCTTGACTATTACAATAACGGACCAATACAATATTTGTCCTTTTGTGATTGACT